ATTTTCAAAACCTGAGAGACCACACTTTAGCCGACAGAATCCCTTGGTATAACGGTTCGATTGGATTCATCCCGTGTGGTGTCCAACAATGGGCACAAAATTATGGCTACAAGTCCAGTAACTAATTGTAAAATCGGCATTAATCAATGTTTTACTATAATGTCAATGTCAATGTCAAATTTATTTATATAGCACTTTAAAACAGGTATAAAACTGCAGCAAAGTGCTGCACAGGAACAACAGTAACACAAATAGATAAAAACAGAATATCAAAAAATTGCTTCAGTTAAAAGCCAACGAATAAAAATGAGTTTTGAGAAGCGATTAAAATGATCCAGGCTGCTAACAGGTTAGAGCAGGGGTGTCAACTCTGACTGGGGTGTCAAACTCCAGTCCTCAAGGACCGCTGCAGTTTTTTGATGAGCCACAGGTACAAAACGCAGGAATAAAATGGCTTAATTACCTCCTCCTTGTTCTCCAGAGCCTTAATGACCTATTATACTATTCAGTTATTACAGCTTCAGTTATTACAACTAAAAACTAGCGATCAGCCCGAAACCTGGGAGTAGTGATGGACTCGGACTTGAACCTTGCGAGCCACATAAAGACAGTAACAAAATCAGTCTTCCATCACCTGAAGAACATCTCCAGGATTAGAGGACTAATGTCTCAGCAAGATCTAGAGAAACTCATTCATGCGTTTATCTTTAGTCTCATTGATTATTGTAACAGCGTCTTCACAGGCCTGTCCAACAAATCAATCAAACAGCTGCAGCTGATCCAGAAGCTGCTGATCCAGAAGCTGCTGATCCAGAAGCTGCTGATCCAGAAGCTGCTGATCTAGAAGCTGCTGATCTAGAAGCTGCTGATCCAGAACCAGCTGATCCAGAAGCTGCTGATCCAGAAGCTGCTGATCCAGAAGCTGCTGATCCAGAAGCTGCTGATCCAGAAGCTGCTGATCCAGAAGCTGCTGATCCAGAAGCTGCTGCTCCTGTTCTCACTAGAACCAGGAAGATAGAGACATAACAGCAGTTTTAAAGTCCCTCCACTGGCTCCCTGTAGCTCAAAGAATAGACTTTAAAATACTGTTGTTAGTTTATAAATCACTGAACGGTTTAGCACCACAATACATCAAAGATCTGCTGTTGTTGTATCAACCTTCCAGACTCTCAGGTTCTGGTTCTGGTTCTGATCTGCATCCCCAGAACCAGAACCAAGAGAGGAGAAGCAGCTTTCAGCATCTATGCACCACAAATCTGGTGCATAGATGCTGAAAACTGTAAACCAGCAGAAACCCTGACTTCTTTTAAATCTAAACTAAAAACCAGCTGATTAGAATTGTTTTTGAAATGTAATATGTAACAATGTATTGTCTATTATATGTTGCATGACTTTGTGTTCTTGTTTTTTATGATGTAAAGCACTTTGAAATGCCTTGCTGCTGAAATGTGCTATACAAATACAATTTGATTGATTGATTCAGGTGTGTTGCAGCAGAGGCACATCTAAAAGTTACAGGACAGCGGCCCTCGAGGACTGGATGTCGACGCTCCTGGGTTAGAGAAAGAGTATATTTTAAGTTGGTAGAATGTTTTGCTTTTATATTTCTTTAATTGATATACTGTAGATAAAAATATTTTAATGCTGAACCTGAAATACCAGCATTTTACGTGGTTGTGTACAGATGTACACATTCTTTTGCTGTTTTGTTTTCCATTTTCTCAATTGAAAATAAATGCAATTGTCATGGTTTGATTTTTTCTGTTTATTTTGAGCTTCTGTGTCTCAGTGTTGTTTTGTCTCCCCTTGATTGTTCCCAGGTGTGTCTCATTTCCGTGATTACTCTCTCTGTATTTAACCCCATCTGTATTCTTTGTTCCTTGTCAGGTCCTAGTCTAAGTCTCTATTCTGTTTTGCTGTCGCACTGTGTCCATTGAGGCCTGGCTTTCACTCAGCCGTGCTACCTGGTTGTTTGGACTATTTCTGCATTGTGTCTCGGTCTGTTTTGGATCACTATCACCATTAAACCATCGTTTTCTCATTTCCACCACACTTCATGACAGCATTACTACATTTTCCACAAAGGATAAATGAAAACATGTCAGTCCTACGATTAACTTGAAGTTTCTGTTAGTGTTTGCCTGATCAGGGGCGGAGCCAGAGGGGTGGTCGGGGTGGCACTTGCCACCCCAAACAGACCCCTGGCCACCCCTACTGCCACCCCACTGGAAATGGTAATTTTAAAATTTAATACTTATGAGATCGGCAAAGATTTGCCAGGAAAACTGTAATTTCCGACTGTCCCTGAAGGCAGCCAGATGCCCAACGCCGTTCATTGGTTAAACTGATATGTGGGTCCTGCTTGATCCAAAACACATCAACGGCTCTAGAGTTACACCATCAGGAGTTCTGCAGGTATTTACATTTTACCGCCCAGCAGTAACCGCTGTTACCTTCCTAATGAGAGGCGGCTCTTGTCATACATTTCTAAAAAGAAACAAAATGGTTGTGTACCGCTGCGTAGTGCCTCGTTTATTATATTAGCCATGCTAGTGCTGGTAGATCGTGTTTTAGACAGAATCTTTTAACATAATGTTTTAGTGACATGCTGCCCTCTAATGTTTTATTTCTCCCAGCTCTTGCTTGAAATGTGTGAAGAATATGAGAAAAACCATTAAGTTTGGAGTCTAAATACCAGGATGTCTTATTTTGTGTAGAGCCCAAATGAAGAGAAAAGGGAAAATCTCCCAGTTCTTCTTAAAGAGGCAAAAACCAGGACCAGACAGAACCCTGCAGCAGTGACCAGGACCAGACAGAACCCTGCAGCAGTGACCAGGACCAGACAGAACCCTGCAGCAGTGACCAGGACCAGACAGAACCCTGCAGCAGTGACCAGGACCAGACAGAACCCTGCAGCAGTGACCAGGACCAGACAGAACCCTGCAGCAGTGACCAGGACCAGACAGAACCATGCAGCAGTGACCAGGACCAGACAGAACCCTGCAGCAGTGACCAGGACCAGACAGAACCCTGCAGCAGTGACCAGGACCAGACAGAACCCTGCAGCAGTGACCAGGACCAGACAGAACCCTGCAGCAGTGACCAGGACCAGACAGAACCCTGCAGCAGTGACCAGGACCAGACAGAACCCTGCAGCAGTGACCAGGACCAGACAGAACCCTGCAGCGGTGACCAGGACCAGACAGAACCCTGCAGCAGTGACCAGGACCAGACAGAACCCTGCAGCAGAGACCAGGACCAGACAGAACCCTGCAGCAGTGACCAGGACCAGACAGAACCCTGCAGCAGTGACCAGGACCAGACAGAACCCTGCAGCAGTGACCAGGACCAGACAGAACCCTGCAGCAGTGACCAGGACCAGACAGAACCCTGCAGCAGGGACCAGAACCAGGACCAGACAGAACCCTGCAGCAGGGACCAGAACCAGACAGAACCCTGCAGCAGTGACCAGGACCAGACAGAACCCTGCAGCAGTGACCAGGACCAGACAGAACCCGGCAGCAGTGACCAGGACCAGACAGAACCCTGCAGCAGTGACCAACCTGGAGAATCCAGCCAGGAGACTCCAGGCCCAAGTGGATCACCAGCGGGTTACAGGCTGTGACAGAAAGTTATTAAGTATTAAAATCCAATAAGCCTAATTCTAAAGGTTAGCATGATGCTTTTTGCATTTTTTATTGTGTCTGTTTATGCATTTCCAATGAAGTTCCAGAGAGAGATGAGGGTGATACAGATTCAGAGTCAGACTCTGGGGAGGAAGACAGTGAAGCAGAAGGAAGTGGCACTGAACTGCCCCCACCCAGCACAACCTATTGCACACCAGAAGCACCAGTTTATTTATTGATTTATTTATTGTTGAGAATTAGTTTTTGGTCATATTCTGGGCTCTGAGTTTACATTTACATGTTCACTGGTCCATAGAGCCGTTTAACGTCTTGTTTGGTCATGGCAAATCTTAGTTAAATAAACCATCTTAATTTGAGTGTGTGTGAGAAAATATTTGTTTCCTTTCGTTCATCATTTGTATATGGACCCTCTGATAAAGCCTTGCTCACCCTTTGGCCACCCCTTGAAAAAAAGTCTAGCTCCGCCACTGTGCCTGATGGTCTGTGTAACATCTGAAGCTGGGTCCAAACTGAGTCTTTAACAGAACAATAATCCTAAATACAGCAGCAGGTCTGCAAACGAACCAATGATGCAGAAAAGAATAAAGGGGCTGCAAAGGTCCAAAATGAAGGTCATAAGCCGATTTTAACCCTGTAGAGACATTAAGGGGCTTATTGTGTGTCAAAACAGTAAGAGATTAAATAATTATTAGCTAAAAGTAGTTTTGTGTCGGATCTGTTTTAGTTTCTACTTTGTAAATAACTGCAGAATCAGTTGTAAGTTTGTTCACTTGAGGCAAAATTAAAATATTTTCAATTTATTTTTGAGCTGATCCATAAACCCGTAAAGCAGAAAGAAAACCTACTTTCATTTTACAACAATGCTCAAAAGTTAAATAAAGAATATTAACAGGAAAATTTGTTCTAAATGTCTGTTAATGCAAGAAGAAAAAACACTTACATGGAAGTTTTGATCTTCAACCGCTGTGGATAGAGTCTCTGAGTCACTGAGGGTTTGTATGAAGGTGGGCGGGAAACAGTTTCCCACAGTTTCTGGGTAGGTGTGTGCAGGGAAGGGGGGTTGGAGAGACGGGGTGCTGGAGGAGGGCAGTTGGATGCAGTAAGTTTTACCTGCCACTATGAGCACTATCAGAGTCAGGATCACCTTCAAAGGTGTCATTTAATGTTTAGATTAGGACCTTTTCATTTATTTGAACTGATTCTTGTTGAATATTATAAATGAACTCAATGGCTGAATTACTGAGGATCTTCTGAAGTGTTAAGTCGGAACGGAAGACGTGGCGAGGAGCGGAGGTCGGACGTCATCGATGATTAAGTAGGATGGATTTGTCTGAAGTCATGTGGTTGACGAACGTTGGAGGAAAACTGTATATAAGGGGATTCAGATGTTGCTGAGACACTTGGCAGCGGAGAACAAAAATCTCTTTTCTTCAGAGATCTACAAGGCAGCAGTAAGTTCAGCTATTCATTCATTAACCTTCCAGCAAAATGCTGAATTACGATTTGCAAAATCTGACATGTTTTATTTTCTGATTGATTAAATATGCAACTTTTTTCTTACTTTAACAGAAGTTTGTTAAAACAAACAGAAAATACCAGAAGATGTCTGACCATCGTGAGTATTGATTCACTGTCCATTTAACTATTTGTCTCAATGTTGAAAACATTTATTCCTAGAATTCTCACTTCATTTCTGAGCAGTTTTTAAGTGACAGTGCTATCATGGATCTATCTTCTTTAGATAATCTTTAAAAATCCAAGCTTATAAATCAGAATGATTAAAATATTAAGTTATTAACTCTCATGCCTTGCGGGTAATAGAAGAAAAACATTAAAAAACTTAATTGACTTCACATGTAAGAAAATATTTCTGCTCCAGAATCTTCGCAGTATTATCAACAGAAGGCTTCTAACAGTGCACGTGATCCAAAAGGGAAGGCTTCTAAAAGTGCAAGTGATCCAAAAGGGAAGGCTTCTGAAAGTGCACGTGATGCAAAAGGGGAGGCTTCTAAAAGTGCACGTGATGCAAAAGGGGAGGCTTCTAAAAGTGCACGTGATCCACAACAAAGGTCTGTATCTGCTAATAAAAATACTTATGATCTCAGGAGGTAGAGAATCTTAAGACTTTTATTTTGAAATTTTCAGTGAGCTTCATTTTAAATGGTCAATGTAATCCCATGTGTAACAATTATTTGGTAAAATCAGACATAAAATGGTCAAAAGAGCACTTAATTGATGGAAAAATTGTCAAGGCTTTTATTTTGAAAAAATTTTAAAGCTTAATTTAAAATTTCCACACTAATTCCATGTGTAACAATGGTTGGTTAAAAAGAGTTATAGAAGGCCCAAAACACAAGCAGTTCTAAAGTTCAGCTTTTTCCTCAGAGTTCAGCCATAGTTAGAACTACAGTGATGCGTTTTTGTAGTCCAAATTAGCTGGCCCTGCTGTGTGGATCCTCTGCCAGCTGTGAGTCAGACAGGGGGAGACTTAATTCTATCAGTTTGTGGCAGCCATTTTCCCTAAGAGCCAGAATGGAATCTTAAGGCTTTTATTTTGAAATTTTCAGTAAGCTTCATTTTAACTGTCCAAAATAATCCAAAGTGTAACAGTGGTTTTGTTAAAAAAAAAAGTCACATAATTCCCAAGAGAGCAACTCCATAATATAAAAGAATGTCAGAGCTTTTATTTTGAAATTTTAATTCAACTTAATTTAAAATTACCACAATAATCCTGTGTTTAACAATGGTTGGATAAAATGCCCAAAACACAAGTAGTTCTAAAGGCCAACACCTTCCTCAGAGCTCTGCCATAATAAAAACTACAGTGATGTGTTTTTGTAGTCCTAATTAGCTGGCCCTGCTGTGCTCCGTTGCTATGGTGATGGATCCTCTGCCAGCTGTGAGTCAGACAGGGGGAGACATAATTCTATCAGTTTGAGGCAGCCATTTTCACTAAAATAGGCATGAGCCAGAAAGGAATCTTAAGGCTTTTTTTTGAAATTTTCAGTAAGCCTTGTTTAAATGTCCAATCTATTCACATGAGTAACAGTGATTGTGTTAAATCAGTTCTAAAATGCTCCAAACAGCAATTGATATAAAAATTGTCAAGGCTTATTTTGAAATTTTCATTAAGCTTAATTTCATTAAGATTAATTAAACTTAATTAACACTAATCCCATGTGTAGCAAGGTTGGTAAAAATCAGTTATAAAATGCCAAAAACACAAGTAGTTCTAAAGGCCAGCTCCTTCCTCAGAGCTCTGCCATAGTAAAAACTACAGTGATGCGTTTTTGTAGTTCTAATTTATAGTTCTAAAGGCCAGCTCCTTCCTCAGAGCTCTGCCACAGTAAAAACTACAGTGATGCGTTTTTGTAGTTCTAATTAGCTGCTCGGCCCTGCTGTGCTTCGTTGCTATGGTAATTATCCTCTGCAACTGTCATGTGTGTGAGACAGAAAGAATTCTATCTTTGTGAGACACCCAGTCAGTTTTGACTGAAAAAAGCGGTCCGAAAAACTGCTTCCCATTCGGAAACCGTGATACGTATCGGAAAACCGTTCGAAGCGTATGAGAGGGCTATCTTTCGTCTCCGATAGTACCGCGATTCATATCTGTACATCACTCACATTAATAACAGCGACGAGAGAAAATGTGTGCGCTGAGGTCTGACATTTTTCAGAAATACATGGAAGTGATCCTGACTGAGCGAGTCGAAATCCTGTCGCATCACTTCGCTCTGAAGCCCCTAGACAAAAACCATAAGCCCTAGAAAAATTTTGAAAACATTTTACCGCAGTAGGCATGTGTATCTATGTCATGACGAGTTTGATACCGATAGGGCGATATTTGTGGTCGTGACGGCGATTTCAAAATTTATTTGGGGTCAGAATCGCTCTGCTTCCCACACTCTAAAGAATCGTTGATTACACTGTAGTTTGGACGAATCTTAAGACTTTTATTTTGAAATTTTCATTGAGCTTCATTTTAAATGGCCAATGTAATCCCATATGTAACAGTGATTGGGTAAAATCAGACATATAATGGTCAAAAGAGCACTTAATTGATGGAAAAATTGTCAAGGCCTTTATTTGAATTTTTTTTAAAGCTTAATTTAAAATTTCCACACTAATTCCATGTGTAACAATGGTTGGTTAAAAAGAGTTATAGAAGGTCCAAAACACAAGCAGTTCTAAAGTCCAGCTTTTTTCCTCCGAGTTCTGCAATAGTTAGAACTACAGTGATGCGTTTTTGTAGTCCTAAACAGCTGGCCCTGCTGTGTTCCATTGCTATGGTAATGGATCCTCTGCAGGCTGTGAGTCAGACAGGGGAGACAGAATTCTATCAGTTTGTGGCAGCCATTTTCACTAAATAGGCATGAGCCAGAAAGGAGTCTTAAGGCTTTTATTTTGAAATTTTCAGTTAGCTTCATTTTAACTGTCCAAATAATCAAAAGTGTAACAGTGGTTTTCTTTAAAAAGTCACATAATCCCCAAGAGAGCAATTCCATAATATAAAAGAATGTCAGGGCTTTTATTTTGAAATGTTCATTGAGCTTAATGTAAAATTGACATACTAATCCCATGTGTGACAATGGTTGGTTAAAATCAGTTATAAAATGCCCAAAACACAAGTAGTCCTAAAGGCCCGCTCCTTCCTCAGAGCTCTGCCATAATAAAAAACTACAGTGATGCGTTTTTGTAGTTCTAATTAGCTGCTCGGCCCTGCTGTGCCTCGTTGCTATGGTAATGGATCCTCTGCCAGCTGTGAGTCAGACAGGGGGAGACAGAATTCTATCAGTTTGAGGCAGCCATTTTCCCTAAAACAGGCATGAGCCAGAAAGGAATCTTAAGGCTTTTATTTTGAAATTTTCAGTAAGACTCGTTTAAAATGTCGAGTCTAATCAAATGAGTAACAGTGATTGTGTTAAGTAAGTTATGAAATGCCCCAAAAGTCAATTGATATAAAAATTGTCAAGGCTTTTCGTTTGAAATTTTAATTAAACTTAATTTCATTAAGATTAATTACACTTAATTAACACTAATCACATATGTAGCAAAGGTTGCTTAAAATCAGTTCTAAAATGCCCAAAACATAAGTACTTCTAAAGGCCAACTCCTTCCTCAGAGCTCTGCCATAGTAAAAACTACAGTGATGCGTTTTTGTAGTTCTAATCAGCTGCTCGGCCCTGCTGTGCTTCGTTGCTATGGTAATTAATCCTCTGCAACTGTCATGTGTGTGAGACAGAAAGAATTCTATCTTTGTGAGACACCCAGTCAGTTTTGACTGAAAAAGCAGTCCGAACAACTGCTTCCCATTCGGAAACCGTGATACGTATCGGAAAACCGTTTGAAGCGTATGAGAGGGCTATCTTTTGTCTCTGATAGTCCCGCGATTCATATCTGTACATCATTCACTGTAATAACAGCGACGAGATAAAAATGGTGTGCGCTGAGGTCTGACATTTTTCAGAAATAAATGGAAGTGATCCTGGCTGAGCGAGTCGAAATCCTGTCGCATCACTTCGCTCTGAAGCAAATAGACAGAAAACCGTAAGCCATAGGAAAATTTTGAAAACATACCGGAGCAGCATGCGTATCTATGTCATGACCGAGTTGATACAGATAGCGATATTTGTGGTCGTGACGACGATTTCAAAATTTATTTGGGGTCAGAATCCACTTCATTTTTCACTCTAGCGGAGCGGCAGTTGGTGGCAGTTATGCTCTGCGTTTCGGCAGTTGGAAATTTCGCTTGTTTTTCCTGGCTTTTTACGTCACCATCGTAACGCTGATTCCCCATAAAAGTAATAGCTCCAATGCCGGGATCGAGACGCACGTTTTGATACCACATTTGTGGGTGGGCTCGCAGCGGTGCGAGCCGCATTCCGGTCTACGGAAGAAAAATAAAGAAGAATAAAGAGGCATTCTATTAGGTGAAGAACAATAGGTGCCTGCCCATAGCAATGCATAAGGAGAGCAGCAGTGACTGACTTGCTTCTCCTTATGCATTGCTAGGCAGGCCCCAACTAGAAAATTCCTGAAGAAATTTAACCGGGGCCTGCCAAAGTGTGCCTGTCGATTTGGACACAGCGTTCTGATGCTAAACATTAGCATCCATGCTAAAGAAAGCAGCAATGTCATCAATACAATGTGGAGAGTCACAAGCATGACTTACTGCATTCAGTATACTAAATATGGGTCATATGTAAGGGAAATAGCTAATACCTCATGCAAGGTAAAAGGCTAATGCTAATGCTCTGCCTTGCTGCGCAAAGCAGAGCCCTCACCTGGGTGAAAAAGATCATGCTGGATAATCTTATTGCGCTGCCTACGGCAGTGCACTGGTGGGGAACAGAGAAATGCTAATGTTTGTGATGTTAATTCTCTGCCTTGCTGCGCAAAGCAGAGCCCTAACCTGTGTGAAAACTCATGCAAGCTAATGTCATTGCAGCGCCTGCAGCGCTGAATTAGCCATAGATGAAATCTTAAGGGTTTTTAATTTGAAATTTTCATTAAGCTTAATTTAAAATTGCCACACTAATCCTGTGTGTAACAATGGTGCTTAAAATCAGTTATAAAAAGCCCAAACACAATGTAATTCTAAAGAGCAGCTCATTCCTCCTCAGTAGTAACTGACAGTTCCGCCATGTTGTAGTTCTGACAATCAGCTCTGACCTTTTTGTAGGCACTGAGTGTTCCGCCATGTTGTAGTTCTAACCTTCAGGAATTTTAGTTCTAAAGAGGAGGTCAAAAGTAGTTAGGACATGTCTATCAATAAACAGTTAATCATCTGAGCTTTTAATATTTTGTGCTTTGCAGGTTGGAATCCTTGATGCAGCCTGTGTGTAAATCAACAGACTCTTGCCGTAAGTCCCAGTCAGTCATCAGATCTGTGTTTTGTTCTATAATATCTTTACATTGTGTTTGTTTTTGTCTTCCAGATCTATGGGAACCATTAACATCATTAATGGTTCCCATTCTCTCAACCTGTTGATGTTTAAATTGAGACAAGCATGAAAATCGCAGTATATACAAAGTTTAACTGAAAAGTTAAATACTGATAACATTATTT